GCCGAGTGGAATGGAAAATCTTTCAACGAATGGAAAATGTTTAATTGCATTAAATACAAAACAAATACATGCCTCAGCTACATGTACAATGTTCAAAAATAATAAAAATCGAAAACGTCCCATCGACCTCATTATGGATTAAATACACTGCGATGACGAAACGATTGAATTCAATATTCAACCTTACCAAAACCGTGCAATGGAACAAAACGTATAGTACAAAAAATGCACGGTTGAGCGCGTGCAATGAATGCGCAGCAAAATGGCAATGTTTTATTTTATATCACGTGATCATATAATCAGCCAATTAAATTATTATAATTTAATGAGGTGTTATATAAAAAGGGCTGGCCCTCCTATCCCTTGTCTTAGATGAAATACACATTCGTTTTTATATAATACCTTATTGAATTCTGATCGTTTAATTGGCTGTTTATGGTCACGTGATATTGAATAGAAAATCCCATTTCCCAAGAGTGCAATGGAATACGTTCCATTGCGCTCTTGCGAGTGCAATTGTACTATACGTTTTATTCCATTGCACTCTTTGTGTTTTCGATAAATCGCACGCACAGAACTGTGATAGGAGGATCGAAAGAAATAGAAAAATAGGATCTATTAATATGTTTACTGAAGGAACCAATGTAACCACGCATCCCTTCATGTCTGTAGGTTATTATACTGCATGCGTAAAGGGATTTGTAGTTCTACCAGATGTATTAATACCTATTAATTTTCATTCATTTCTAGACTTCGAGCTGTCAATGGTACTTTACCAGTTGCGTTAGCAGCCAAACATCATTCTGTACCAGTAAGTGCGACCAACCTGATCACATAGTATACATCAACCCTGATCTTAATGTAACATAGAACCAAACTGTGTATCTATTACGTATGGACTCAGGAATAATCAAGAAAACAACTGGTGAAACTGAGTTTAGCGCTACTTTATTCATCAATATACATTTTGGTGAAGATTTCGCGGTTCTAAACCAGTGGCGGACACTGGGGGGGGGGGGGGGGGGGGGGGGAGGTGAGGCTAGAGACAACCGCTCCCCAATATTTCTGAAAACCTTTGATTGATATACATGTAGCTAAATAACTGTACGTGTGTAACAAAGCTGTGACAATTACTGTTGGACCATGAACGAATGGTGGGCTATACAGCTAGTATATAATTATTTAAGGCAAAAAAGTTAAAGAACTATAATTTCCAGTAACAAAAGGTGATCACATGATCGCAACCCAACGTTTTGTTGTAGCAAATGCGCTGCAATAAGATTTGATCAATATTATATTCTTGTTTAGCTTCTAGTGTGTTCTGCAATGTACAAACTGACACCTCAGTATGTAGTATCTTACGATCAGGTACTATAATACACTTTGTTAAATTAAGGGGTTTTTGTATAGATGAAAATGTTGAGTGAATATAGTCTGGAGCAGTTGCCGCGTAAAATTCGAAATAGGTTCAGGCTCTGACCACTTATGATTCCTGCTGGATTTTTGCAACTGCCTCTGATTTTATAGTTTTAAAGATGCGGTGTGTAGTTTTCACTCCAAATAAAACTCTATGCAGTTCTATCTATAAAATTTGGGAGGGTTTAAAATTTTCCGTGTAGATCAGTACGCATGACTAGAAAGATTTTCCTAGGAACATTGTAATTGATAAAGAGCTGACTAAAGATAGGGTTCACATTGCCATTGGGTGAAAAATATCTCGTGCATGTATAAAGGCTGCTTTCGACTTGAGGTTGTAGTTCTGACAGTGTTGTCTATATCATGTATTTTATATCGAATTCTTCTGATTAAAAATTTCCTTTTAGGACAGTCACAATAAATTTTTATCACCGCATGCCATCGTCAGGTTCTCAGAAGGTAACATTTAAAGTATTAATAATTTGAAAGTATTTTGGAGTTCATACAAACGGCTCATGGGGTCGGTTGTACTGTATACGAAGCCGGGATAGCGCTATTCACCAGATATAGTGATTTTTCAACCGCTGTAAAAATGCTTGAAAACCTATAAAATTATACGGATATGGCCTTCACAATTAAACTAAAGTTTAATCTGGGTTATAACAATCAACGGGTTTTTTAAGCGCGCTATAAAATCGCTATGTCCAGCCTTCGTATCCAGCCTTCGTATACAACCGGCCCCTGATATATATACTTTGACAGTAATGTTTTCTCTGCTTGAATATAGGGGATATTTTAGCCAAAGTACATGTTCAGAATCCTGTGTTTGACTATGTTCCACCTGATCTTGTCAATCTTTTCATTTCAAACATGTAAGTTCTTCGTCACTTTAAAACTTCATATTCTTCTTGCAATCTAACGTAGTTGTAAGCTGAGGACAAAATTAATGTAATCTGTACACCAAAACTAATATTATTTATTCTGGATAGTTCTGTCAGTTGTTCAACTGGATCAACTGTTCTGCCTCGGGAAAGGAATGGCCATCCTATTGCGTCAGGCCTAGTGTTATTACAGGAGAAATTGTCTAGATCGTCTGGTGCATGGTCTAGTGTTATTACGAAAATGGTACTCTTCTTACATGCAATATAGAAAGCTGCATAGTGCAGAATGGAATCCCGTTCGCAAAGGCAAGGGGCGGACCATTAGAAAAGTGATAGGGGGGAGGGGCGGCTTTTCAGCTTCTCGATCTCCCAATATTTTTTCGGCCGTCTCTGTGCTAGAATTTTTTTGCGGAATTTTTAAGGTATATTTCTTTGGTTTTCTCTTTCCACAATTTTTTTCTATTTTCCTTTGCGCGAATTTTTTCCCCCTCCCATCACTTTTCTGGTGGTCCACCCCGGCCCCTAAAAGGCACATGCACTAACCACTGTGCCGCTAAAGCTACGTTTACACGCTGCTATTAATCGTGTACGATTCGTTTTCTGGCGTATGTCATTGAGTAAACACGCGTATAAGCTGGCTACATTTTAAATTTCTTTTTAACGAAACGGCAATGGATTATGGCGCCAGCACTAATTTTAATACGCCAGAATACGAATCGTATACGACAAATCGTAGCGTGTAAACGTAGCTTAATACTTATACGTCATAATGACTTGATGACGACTTGACGATTTTATCTTGAAAATGTCGCGGGAGCAAAAATCGAATCTTTTAAAAAATAGCAAACCTGAAACTTTGTAAGAAAAAAACATTTTATTCTAATTAGCATAATGGATTAAGTTCGCAAAGGTTTGTGGTATAATCTACATGTCGCTATCTTTCTTACTATGGTGAATCTTCCATTTTTGTCTGTCATTTCGCTACAAACATACATATAGTTTTTTGCATAAAACTACACTGGGGAACATATTTAAGTACATTAAAGAATGTTCAAAGTCGCGCCGGATCGAAATCAGAAAGAAATCTTTCTTTTTGCCTAATAAAATTATGAGTGATATTCACTGTGCTCCTCGTGTACTGTAAGGTTAAAAAGTAAAATTTAAATACTAAAAAGTAATCTTATATTCTTCTTTTTGTATTTCAGAGGTGGCAATGCACCGTCGTATGTCTATCGACTGTTAACCGACGTTTATCATCCAAATGACACTGACTTATATAGCAACTAACAAACCTGAAGGATTGAAGGTAAAGAATAAAATTGGCATCTTGGATAATTCTGCACTTAAGATGCATGTACGTTCATCCTCATCAGTCCAAAAAAAGAAAAAGCCTGTTTATTTATTGAACAACCGAAAATTAATAAAAATTTTCAACACGATCAAATAATTATTTATTTATAGATACGAGTACACATTTCATACATATACGACTTAATTTCAAATTCATTCAAACAAATGTCATGTACGAGTTATTTAATTTTGTAACAACAATCGGACTCCATGATCATGCAGAGTGCTTCCTAAACCGTCACCGTAAGTTGTTAAAGCTACGTTTACAAGCTACGATTTGTCGTGCACGATTCGTATTCTGGCGTATTAAAATTAGTGCTGGCGCCATAATTCATTGCCGTTTCGTTAAAAGAAATTTCAAATCGGTAGCCAGCTTACGCGTGTTTACTCAGTGACATACGCCAGAAAACGAATCGTACACGATTAATCGCAGCGTGTAAACGTAGCTTAAAAAGCAATGAATATGAAATTTTCAGACAGTGGCTGAAATTCACTTCTTCCAGTCGGGGGGGGGGGGGCAAAACCTCCTAAATTTCCGACAAAACTTTCAAATTTCCGGCGACCCCCCCCATTTGCACTCGAAAAGACTGTTTTTAGCCCTCTTTTAGATCAAAATTTCCGAAAATTCGTCAATTTTCCGGAAGGTGGGGGGGGGGGCGGCCGCCCCCCCCGCCCCACCAAGATTTCCGCCACTGTTTTCAGAGACAATTGCTCCATATTAAAAATCAGGACGGAAATATTATTGACAAAGCACACACTGCATGGAGGTCAGCTGCTGAAAACACTGCCACTGAATGCATATGGCATTCGTATGGAATTGACGTCAAAAGAAATATAATATGGTGCTCAGCGCTATATTTCATGCTTTCTCTGGGAAAAATAAACCAAGACAGCGCCCAATGACACGACTTTGTACTTCTAAATGAGAACGTCATGCAGGTGGGAATCTGCAGCTGTCAGATTCACGATTAATTTTCCTTGTGAAAATTTTAAAACGCGACATTGAAGTATATCGATGATTTAATATTTTATTATATTTACTTCATACTATATAGTACACTAAATAATTCTATACATTCTCTTTAAATTATATATAAGTATTAAATCTATAATTGTGAATTCATGTTCTGACCATGCAAGACTACACGCCAACAGAAGATTGTGCCATTTTACCAAGTGATTTAACTGTTTATGTTGAGTTCATACATCTCAAATGTTTTAACATGAAAAGTATAATAGCCTCCACCTTTCCACACGAAATGTTATAGCTTTTATATACGATTTTCATTGCTTTTCATGTATTTCTTCATAAAGAATTTTTTCTTATATACAGCTTGTGTAATATAGGCTACAGAAAGCTTACAACATGTTACAACCTATTTTTTAAAGAAAACAAGTTTTTTAAAACACTTCATGTAAGCTGCGCGCAATGTTTTATCTCCTAATCCATATATGACGGGATTTAGACTAGAACTTCCTAGAAAATATAACATCAAGATCCAGACAACGTGGTAATCGGCCACAATATTCTGACCAAGTTGCAACTGTAATAATTTTATAACTCGTGCAGGGAGTACTGCTGCAAAAAACTGAACAACGATAACAATACATGTATATAATGTCCTGTAGTTCCGTTCAAGTGCTGTATTTGTTGCGGTTGTATGGTCGCCTGTAGAAACCCCAGAATGGAATAACTGCTTTATTCTGTTGTTATGGTACAGCAGTGACCGACACATTTTAGTATATAGTACAGCGAGAAGTATAAGTGGAAGTATTATTACAATGCTTTGCCACGTCCATTCGTAGATTTTGAAATATAGATTTTGATACCATCTGCTTCTGCAATCGAGTTCCACCGAAACAAAAACTGGAAGATATAGAATGAATACAATGATATACACACCAGCAACAATATAGTTTAATGCCTTTTTGCTTAACTTTGGGTGTAGTGGTTGTGTAACTGCTTTATAACGCAGAATTGCTATAATCACCAAAAATGTAGTCTCGCAAACGAAGATGCACTCCGATAAAGGAAACGTAACTTTACATGTTATCTTGAGAAGGGTTGTATAAGTTGACACACTTATATTCTGATGAATAATCAACATAGGATTTAACAGCAAGCTAGCTGAAAGAAGCAGAGCGATATCACAGGCAGCAACATGGAGAACAAGGAAATAATAATTGGTTTTAAGGCGACGGCTTTTACAAATAGCAAAAATGACCAGAATATTGCCAAATAAACCAAGCAGTGCAATGATAATATAACCAAGCGATATGCCTGGTTCTGCAGGTATCGATATGGTGTAATCAGTAGTGTTGTACATGGCGCTTCATAGGTTTCAATAATCGTCTTATTGTCAATGTTGCTCAGTTATTTTTATTCGCGAGACAACGCAAAGTAATTAAGTCTTCAAATATGCTGCAGCTTATATATTCCGTCACTATAGCAAAGAAACAATTAACAACGTACGCAGATGACATTTTATTACAGATGAAGTAGTATACTCGTGTTTATTGGACGTCGGCGCCTTTGAAGTTCCTCCCATTTTTCGCGAGCGGTTCATTCCATATGAAGTAACATATAATATACATCGCATTTCATCATGAATCCAGTTTCGTTGACAAAAAAGTGCTACCCGAAAGGCAAAGAATGTTATCAATGTATGAGATGCATGATCATTGACAATGGGCGGGAAGCACAAAGACTCACTCGCACTCCCCAGCATAGCAGGAAATAATATTTTTGTTTCTCATATCCGGCTATACGTTTTGGGTAATTGGGATCAAAGTTTTCTACCGAGCTCACTAATATTCTTCCTAATAAATTATTTTCTGTGTCTGTTAGCATTACCTCAGCTTGTCATTGAGTTCATTGCTGGCAAAGCGTCGGGCTAGTTTTAACAACTAAGTTTTACAAGCAAAACAAACAAATTCATCATCGATCTGGTCTTACTGATCGGAAGCTTTCCCGGATAAATGAGCGTATCTCCCCCAAAACACAACCCAAAACAAGCCGATTAGTTTTACTTAACTTTTGATTTTATTCTATTCTATACATTGTATTTACAGTTACACATTTTAATATTTACAAATATCAATTGTTCTTTCGTATTTTAATTGCTGTCATTCTTGTCCTCATTTTTGTCATTGTCTTCGTCACTTTTCGAGCTCATTGGGGGAACAGAACTACCAGTGACGTAATCATGTGAATCCACATTGTATGGCTGTATACGCGGACCAGCGGTATCCTCGTGATATTTTGCTCTCAGTGGATACGGTCCCACTGGTAGTTGGTATTTTGGGTAAACGCTCAGCGGAGAGAATGCTGAACCTGTGAATCCTGGGAAGAAGCCCTCGTTTCGCGGGAAATTGAACGCATCTGGTCTCAAATGTAAGTCTTTAGATAGTTCATGATTTTGTAAAGCAGCAAGATGCGCTGAAGTGAAATGATTAATAGTATCAGGTTTATGTTTGCTTAGTATCTGTTCAATGGCTTGAATCACATCTCCACCACAAGCTTGCAAGATTAATTGTAAAACATTCGCTTTCATTTTGGGGAAAATACGCAACAGTAGTTCGGTATTTGATAGTCGATGTCTAGCCGGGAAACTCCGAAGAGCTGCCGATGGTGCTGCGATTGGTACTCGGTTGAACACGTCGTAGTCGTAAAGTCGTCGTTTCTTTTCAGCGTAGGACTGTTCACCAGGGTATGCGATGTCTTGAGAACGAGCTCGGTCTTCATGTATTGTATCAGGAAATAGTCGTCGTTTTAAATCTGAAGCGAAAATTGAGGTGTGTTAGAACACGAGACAGACAGCACGTGCATGCAATACCTATTCCTGAGTCTCTTGTCCAGAGGAGAACGGTGTAGATAGAGGCTTGCCATCTGCTAAGAGGCAAACTGTTTAATTCAAGGGGTTGGATTAATCGCAAAAATAATTTTAAAATTAGGCATTGCATGCATGGCGTCATGACTCAGGAGAGTATAATATGTAGTAAAACCCTGTCGAGTTTTTTGTAAAAAAATCAAGCCACGCTCATGCAACATAAGGCGACCTATATAAGTTTCTAGTTTGTGATATGTGTGTGTTTGCGTGCATGTTGGGTCTTGCAGAAAAATCTGCGTTTAGTTTTGCCAAAAATTGTCGTTCAAAGGTAGAAATACGATACGACTATAGTGTATCATGTTGCAAAATCAGCATTAGAAGCGCTATATACTTTATATTTCAGCCAATATACTACTTAAATTGTTTTTCCGGCTACTTTATACAAAGTCAAAGATCTTGGACAAAGTGTACAGAATTCAATTTAAACATCTGGTTTAAAAAGTAACATATCGCAGACAAACTACTTGGAAATGCTTAACTTCCTATTTTACATATGTCTACATATGGCCAAGGTTTGCACAGAAACGTCAAGCTCTCTTTAAATTTAAATTTCAAAGATGCCGAAAACTCGTTGCATCTTGTTGTGAAAATACAAACTCCTTAAAAACAACAGATGCGATCATTGAACAGCTTCAGTTGTAAATGCAGTCTATGTTGATACTTGATACTTTCATTTAGAAACTAACATTAAGTATGTAGTAGTTTTGAGATACTAAATTAAAAGGATTTAAAAAATCGTTTTTCATTTTAAACTTGAAGTTCGAATATACAAATTATAAATATCATATTGAGTTCATATCTGAGACGTGGGCAACAATTAGTTTGACAATATTTATCTGTGCATACGCTTCATTCATCTAATGTGCAACATCTGATAATGTGCTACAGAACGCCTACCCCATTTTTCAAGATTGTTACGTAGGCTATAAAATTGTCCTTAAAACAAAAGATATATATTGTTTTTAATCGCAGTCGTAGCAATTGGTCGTGATACGATCAAAGTCAATGGGAGTGCTTTTATGAACAGAAATGATTTATTGTTCCTTATCAGTAAAATCAAGAGAAAATCGTTGGCGTTTATCACGACAATTTGAACGTATACATATAACTTGTTACTTGTAGCTTGAGAAAGTATGCAAAATGAGAGTAAAGATGAACTTGTAAACTTTAAACTTAAGCTCATTTACTGTTTGGCGTAAGTCATTTACCCAACTGTGCTGACTAAGCCGCATATGTATGTATAGATTTAGAGATAAAACGAACCCTTTAACTTCGCACATGATAAGATAACACTTAACAGAGTTCTATTTAAACATCAGAAGTGCGTGTCTGTGTTCCTTAGCTGAGCACGTGCATTTTCTACTCTAGAATTTAACATCACTGCCTGATTTACTTCAGGTGTTTTAAAAGATATCTGTTGAAAACGGTTGGATACTGCAACAATGTACAAATATAAGTTACAATGTTTTACTTCTTTATCCCACTGACACCGCCTGTGTATGTTGCACACATTTTAATTTTTTATTCAAAGAATATTCTGTTTTTCTTCTGCATAACTAGTTTAGACCACAACTGTGTTAATGTAATTGATATTTGTTTAAAATTGCTGTTCATATAGCGTCGAAAACCTAAACTTCTGGCGCAAGTTTTCAATTATTCACCTGCGGTTCTTTTGAATAAGCAACTTAAATTAAACTAAATGCGGTGACTCTACTTTATATTATAGCATTCACTGTGGCGCCCCTGTAGGCTGTAGTTTAAAAAGAACCCCAGGAGTTAAATTTTAACATTCAACTTTGAAATTTTAATTCGAGAGTGAAATAGTGTGCGATTCAAAATAGACTGTGTTTTTTGAGGTCGCATTGAATGAATTCTACGAGGTTGCTTGTGTGGAATAACGTGGAATAACTGGAATTGTGTGGAATAACTCATAAGCAATTTAACATTAATAGCGGAGCATTCTTTTTTTGTATTCACTACTGCTATGATATATTATATTACTTTGAGTAACTGGCCAAGGCAAACACTGCAAAAGTGAATGTGCATGATACATTATACCAATGCATACTGTGGCTTTTGTAATTGTTAAAGTGCATGTTGTGCACAGTGATAAGAAAACTAGACTTCAAGGGCAAATCAATGAATAATTAATAAAAGTTTACACTCACCGTGAAAAGGGGCAGTGTTAAACGGACGGAAGGCTGAACATGTACAATTACTTGGACACATTTCGCGATTGAAGAGAATCGGCGCCGGAGCTAAAATTAAAGGAACAATCAGTCGAAACATTTTTCGAAATTAACTCGAAAATTAAGGAAAATTTCCTATGAGAATTGTGCAATGTGGCGAAAAGCTGGACTAATTATATTGTTACGCAAAGCAAAATAACTATCCGGTTTTTTTCACTTAATTATACACTGTCGTAGCGTGACGTCCTTTGCCCCTACTGAGTCTAAATTGATTTGGGTATAATATATTTTTAAGTGTATTTTATCTATGCAAACAAGCTTTGTATTGTTTAATAATGCACTTTCACCTGCCTCAAGGTTTCTTGTCTAGATTTTTAAAGAATGACGCTCGTTCTTATTGCTGATAAACTAAAGACTATATAGTTTATAAATGTATTATCCTTTCTGACCAAATATTTTTATCACATCTATTTTTGACTTTCTTTAAAAATCTGATGTGCAAAATGCAATAAAATTGCAATCTAGAGTTCAAGATAAGATTCTGGTTTCTTTTAGCAGGTTTTTAATATTTCTGGGCGTTTTTTGATTTATAGATGTATGGTTACCCTAACTTACCTAGTTTGTTGTATTCAGGTTGCGCAGAGCTTGCCATTGACGTTGAATCATGTCCTCTGTTTTCTGTTTCAATGGGAGATCGTCTGTTCTCAACGGGTGACTGCGTCTCTCGTTTCACTTCAAGATCTAGGTCAAAAATGTTACAAGTTATGGTGAAAACACTACCCGTTTATTTGAACAAATTTTGTACGATCTCATAGTAAAATGCAGGTATATTCTTGGTTTGCGCAATAAAGATGCATTTCATTCGTGTCTCACGAGTCATGAGAATAAAATGCAGCGACATTTTTACTTTAATAGCTGCGCGTATCTTTTAGAGACGACACATTGTTACATTTTCGGTATTATATACAATAGTATAATATATTGGGTATTATTCATGTTGGTTTTTCCTGGTTTTAAATGTACAAATTCAGTGCATTTTATTGTTACATGAAATTTGTTAAAAATAACTGCCGAACAAAATAGAGTAAGGAATCGGTAAATTATAATATAAGCCGGGAACACGTTTTTTGTGACAATATAAGTCATAAAATGTCGACTATACATTTAAAGCGTATTTGGAAATAAAGTGTTCGAAGCAGAAATTATTCATGTTTCCTTTGTAAAATTAAGTAAACGTGAAACAATTAATTGTACTTGACTATTGCTAAATACGACCGAAAATGTTCAAAATGATCTGATTCGTCTGTACTTCGATTCTCTGTTTAAATTTAAATTCTTGATGTTTGAATTACTGGGGAAAAAAAACAAGCTAAACTGCTAAGAAGAAAACCGAGTTATTGGTTGAATGACTAAAAATATTGATTCATTTAAGGTTCTGTTTGGGTAATAGTCAATATTGTAATAAAATGGGTTCAAGACTGAAGTCATTATAAAGTGTAATTTTGTAGCAACTAAAGTAAATCCAACTGCGCGGTACGAGTGCTGATGATACACTTTGCCATATGTAGTGTACATAAAATAAACTTTAGAATACATCGTTTTGGGAATTAGAAATCGCGATAATTGCGACATTTTAAATCAAAACTTATAAAAAGTTTGTATATTTCCAATTTCCTTTAACAATTTGTCTTTAATTACTACCTTGACTTGCCACTGTTATTTCGACGCTTTCCTTGTCTTCTGATCGACTTCTATCCACTGGACTAGTACTGCAATATTCGTCATTTTCTTCATGTCTTGCAAGGGCTGTGAATAAGTCTCCTGGCGGTAAAGGATCACGGAGTTCTTGCATTTGCTGTCTACGCAACGCAACCTGAGCTGCCAGTACGCGCTGTCGTTCGGCAATCAACATACACTTTGGGCATAGACAGTCTCTCCAACGACAGAAACCTTTGTGACCTTTCAAAATAGAGTCGAAGCCATGGTTTCTGCATCGTGCGCATTTTGGTGTTCTTTTCTTCTCTTGTTGACTAGCTGCTTGGGATTGAACGAGACTACTCATCGCGCGTCACTGTGTTTCAAATCTTGTTAGAAGCAATAGTGCGTGATACACGGCAGGACAGAAATACAACTGTGTTAAGAATGATACTAGCTTTTAAAGTTATTCTTTTTAAACTGTAACTCGTAGCCCTTTTTGCTGCCCAATAGTGCATCGCCCGCTATTATTTTACACCCAGTTTGCCTCTATGATTGGTCAGTCACGATTGACATGATCAATACGCTAATTGGTTGAATGACAAAGAGTTATAGTAAAACGCGCCTCTCATTCGCTGATTCATGTTGTCCAACCACGGCACCTGTACCAAAACTCCAAAATGTCCGGGGAACAGGTGGAAATAGTTGAAACTTCAACTAGAAACAAAAACAAACAAGCTTTTACAACTAATTCCTATTCTTTTGAAGTAAATGTTGATAATTACATATTGAAGGCTACAAGGAAAATATCTGAAAAGAAAAGATCAATGCGAATGTTTCATATAAATATATATACTGTACCGTTTTCACTAACTAGCCAGAATTAAAAACTCCAAAGGGCAAAGCCATGCAAATGCAAAATTATGTTGTAAAACTGAGCTCAGTTTCAAAAACAAATGTTTTAAACGGAAACTGATAGAATGATATGCTAAAATCGACATTTATTTATCCAAGAAACTCTTGTTATTGTTTCGAATGGTTTAAGTAAACTGTGGATATTATAATTTAGCTCAAAAACCACGCTTTAATTATCGCTGTTAACAACAGACTAATTTTTGCGTAGACTTTAAAGCCGCATTTCTTTTGAGACGTCCGACATGGCGACACGAAAGTCAAATAAAAAAGACATATTACGATATTACGTGAATTATGCTATAGATCACAAACGATTTACGATGCTTAGGAAATTCTAGATTTAAATTTGAGTACTTAAACTATATATTTAAGTCCACTAGACCGTAGCTGTGTAATATTTATTGAAGCGGGCAATAAAGAAACATTTTATTAATATACGGCAAGAACGGCAATTTCAAAGACTTGAAACTTATTAATTTGCCGTAATTCTAAGGAAAATTAAGTAGAGTTCGTTAGTCCATTAGATATTCTCTTAAACATAGATAGTTTGCAACGTTTGCGAGATTATGTTGAATATATAAACATCAAAGTTTTAATAAGTTTTAAATGGCATCAGATTATTATTATACATGCATGCAACTGTTGTTTGAGTATTGGAGCATTGAACGGAAGCTATTGATCAAGTCTCAAGACAAAAACACGACCAAGTGTATGTGCAGGTGCCGTATTAAGAAACACTATAGATTTCGTCTGTGCGATATTAAGATATCAAAATGACCAATCTTTAAACGACTGTAGCGTTCAAAAGTTCAAAATTAACAAAGCAAAAGTTTAAGAGGACGTGACAGCAACATATTTTGAAAATGCAAATATTACATATTGTATATAGAAAAATGCAAATGTGCCGTTTAACTTTAAAGAGTAACAGTATATAGGCCTATATATATATATATATATATATAAACATCTTATTCTTCGATAAAAGATTAGAGATTTCGTTGTATATGATTGCATATATAGTCATAGAATATATATTTCAATAACCGTTAGGCGTTATAACGTTTGTGTATCTTGACGTGATAAGACTATATACAGTCATAGACACAATAATACGGGATATGTTATATATCTATAATCCTATATTATGTTGTGTCAAGTGAAACAGTGACACGAGCTACGGTGCCGTGTAATCACATAAACTAGAAAAATTTAGCAGTTATATATATCAATGTACTATCAGTGACAGTGTAGACGTAGTGAATTGACGTAAACGTAGTGCTCATGGGAATAGCTGGGTACATGATTTGACTCCGATTGATCGAGTCACATGACAGCCATGCACGCTCTATATAACAGGCGTAAAACATCACCTTTCAACTCAGTAAAACTATTTATGTTTGTAAGTTCCACTGATAATCACATCAAACCAGAAATGAAAATATCAACAATGCACGTATATGTTTCTATATAGATATATATTTAATTGAAAAGTTATGATTAATGGCGGTAGTCATATTGTGACTTTGCGGCGCTCTATCAGATTCAACTGAGATTAAACGTGTAAAGCAATAATATATGTATATAAACTTGATTCCACTATCATATACTATCTATCATATACTATCATATACTGCGCTACTTTGGCGCATGCGCATTTTTGCAAAGGCATAAAATATTTTATCAAAAGTCGATGGTTGATATTTGAGAACATCATTTCAAATTCCGTAATTGTATGAACTGATGCGATTTTAAACATCCACTGCAGTATATACGATTTCTTAAACGACACGATGTTCTGAGCAAAGGGCCTTTCTTTGGTTTTGTCAGAGCTATAGGTTAATGTTGTGAGTCATTCATTACTCTACGCTTCTACATTCATATACAAGTAACATGTGCTCGGAATTAGAATAAAACTTTAAAAACTTAAATCATACTTCCAAGCTAATGACAAGTTCAGAAAAGTCTCACCAATTTGGTAATATATTTTTCGTTACCTATATACACTACACCGAATACAAAGATAAATATGTTATACATGGAATCAATTATTTAAAATAATGACCTCATATATGCAGTTTATATAAATTATGTTGGACTGTTTCTCGTTATAATACAAGAGGAATTCGATGTCGGTCCTCTGGCAGGAATCGAACCTGTGGCCCTGTGATTCCAGTGTAATGCTCTGACCACTGAGGCACTGAGTTACATACATGGGAAAAAAAAAGTGAAATCCATACTACGAAATTTACAATTGAACCCACTAAATCCATAGTATATCCATCCTATTTCCATACCATGGAAATATACAATTATATTATGGATAACCAAAATCCATTCTATTTCCAATAAAGGTCCATACAATTTCCATCCTATGACCTTCTATGGATTTTCAATTTTTTTCCCAGTGATACAGAGTCCAATATTATAACCACAAGTTCTTGTATATGTTTTAACAAATGTAGGGTGTTGTTTTACTTAATAAAGTGCATCAGTTAATCTGGATGAAACGAAGATGAGAGTGCATGAGAGAGGGCAGTCACGCGACCTTGGTTAGCTGTTCTTAACGCTTTCCCAAGTACTATCATGTTTTCTAAAACATAGTTGGAACACTCATCAAACGTTTATTTTATTAATCTAGAGCTTGAAATGTCCCCCAATGTGTGACTACCAAGTCCCATTCTCTTTTGACCGGGGCTTTATTGATGGCCAAATGAAACCCCAAACATGCAAGTATACAAGTCTATTTATTCTACATCAAATGCGCTCTTTTCATTAGGAGTCTGATCGAGAGTATAAAAGTAATTGTGCATATAAATGTGTAACGAGTAGTATATGGGAATACGGGATAATATTGTAACGAGTAGTATATCCGTTTTGTACGGGATAATATTTACGTATACGACTGCATTTGTTACATTGACTTGCAGTCACTTTCATCCATGGAAATAGGGATTTAATGAAAAACATTAATTATAGCCATCAAAATGTCTCATTTCTACGGTAATAACAATTGTATGCCGGAAAGCTTTAAAGTCGGTAAAATGTTTAATGAATCCCCACCTTTCCTTGCGCGGTCAGTAAATGTTACATTAAATGTTGTTAAAATGTCATTATTAAAAAAGATAAGTAATTTGTCCTCGATGCGTGCCTGCTGTGGCTGCACCCACGACTTAAATTTCTTTTCAAATCCAAACTCATGTGTGATATAGTAAACAAAGTAAATCGGGAAAAAATTAAAGATTGGCGACCTATAGCCTGGCATGAACGCGTTTCAACAATCGCGCAATACTTTTTGAAATTCGTGATTAATACTCATCACTACAAAACAAAGTATGATAAATTTTTAATGATTTAGTTTAAACAGTAGGGGATCTAGAAGTGTACTGTACTACAGCAATTAAACATCAACATAAAAATACCATATATATGTATGCATTAAAATAACTGCTTAATTGAAGCATCGATACTAAATTCAGTGTTAACAAATTAAACACAAGCAAAAACATTAATAGTAAAGTCTTTTTATAAACACACTCAGGTGTCAGTTAAAGTGGCAACTTATCTAAGTTGAGCAGTCGATGAGTGATGGCCGTCATCCAGTCATATGTCTCCTTTGGATCCAACAATAATTTCCATTTACCGCCCGACTTTTGCGATTAACACTTGAGGATTATCTATAATAAAACGAAAGAACAAACACTGAAACTTATAGAACACTCATGGCACATTTCATTTTTATTTTTCCCTGGCATGTTCGTTTTGATCTCATATCCCACTACGTATAAAAAGATTTAAGCCATAATTTTTAAAATATGATATTTTGAATAAAAAAACAACTTTTAAATATACTAACAACAGAGTTACAGCATACATGCATGCTGGTTGTAGCATCTGTCATATCTGTTAAGAGAGCGAATACAATTACTAAGCCTTGATCTGACTTGCTTATTTGTATGATATTATTACGTATTGTATACTTTTGTAGCTTTAAAAACTTGTTTTCCTACTCGATGGCAAACAAACAAATGAATTATCATTTTCCTGCACAACACTTGATTTTTACAAAACACTTTATTTGATAAAGCTATAAGAAATAGACGAAGAGATTTTACCGCCATCTTGAATATAATTTCTACTTATGAAATATATAATCGTAATCCTCTCATCCAACCAATCAGAATTCACTGATTTTGTAACACAAATTGTTAACCTAATGATGTTCAAAATTATAATATACAAATATATATGTAAGGTTTAATTATAACTCAGATCTTTAATATGTATACTGCAGATATACAGAAAAAGAAGAATCACTAGAAGATTCTGTCCCTCCAGCGTGGGATGACCTTCAATCTCTTATCATAATCTTCTTAAAAATAAAATCCCGACTATAACATCCCATGGTGTGGGAGCCCTAGAGTGCGACGGCAATTATCAGACCCTGGATAAGAGCTTGTTTTCATACTGTAGTTGCATTTTCTTGTATATTTGCATACATGTCTCTTGTCTAAGACATTTGTGTTAGACATAGTCATCACGCTTCACCGTAGTTTTATACCGTCGAGATGAAGAACAATATTTTAAAACGCTTGGGACAACGAGTCAGGCCACTCCAAATTAGACTTTAGTTTCCCGTCCTCCGCCCGCGTCTTCTAGAACTTGCCGCATGATTTGTCCATTATTGCTAACTTGCTTCCATTATGATGTTTTTGATGTTACTCTTAGGGGCCGATTACATGGAGAACTTTCAACCCCGGGGTTGAACTCAGCCCTGTTAACCGGGTTGAAATTTTTTGCGATTACATGGACGATTTCAACCCCGGGGTTGAAACGCTATACTATACGTTCTCGGCATCGATTCCCGGAAGTAAAAAAAAGCCTTTATTTTGTTTTCTTGTAATAAATAGTCACTACCATGCACGTATGCTCGAATAAGTCATGATAATTTCAGCCCTGGGTTGAAAGGATTACGTGACAAAATTTTCAACCCAGGGTTGAGTTCAACCCTGCTAGCTGAAGCAGGGTTGAAATTTCAACCCCGGGTGAACTCAGCCCTAGGTTGAACATTTTGTCATGTAATCGCGCGTTTGATTTTGATAGAGTTTTGTATTACAGACAGGGCTGAAATTTCAACCCAGTAAACAGGGCTGAGTTCAACCCCGGGGTTGAAAATGCTCCATGTAATCGGCCCTGAGTGTATATCCACACCAGGCAGGCTGAAAAGTTAGCTTGACCACGGTGGGAATCGAACCCGCGACCTTTGAGATACTAGTCCAATGCTCTGCCAACTGAGCTACGAGGCAAAGTGTGTTCGAGTGTGTGGTATTTCGGAAATCCGTAATTCCGAATAATCTATCACTCAATTAAGAAGTACATATTTATGATACAACACGTAAAAATCAAAATAAAATTCTTGAAACGTTTGTCAAAGAGCGTGAATTTGATGATTTTTGAACGTGATTTTTGAACGTTAATATCCTGGCTTTCATTTCTGCATACAAAAAATCTAAAACATTGCGTAGAAACGTGACTGAATGGATATTTAGAACTCGTATCTATTTCATGGAGTAGTGGGTCGTGTTTCATCTTTCAGACACCATAATGGATAATGGAAATGGACCGTCCGCCCGCGTGTAATTTGAAAAAAAGGCCGGACGGGAAACTAAAGTCTAATTTGGAGTGGCCAGACCCATGTATCAATAAAATATAAATACTTCCTCGTCCGCATCAGTAATTTACTATATATGTCCACGATGCAATTTCTATGTTACTGCATGTTTACTGTATATAAACGGAGCAGATTTGGATGAAAAAAATATATTAAGAGAAACACGAGCCATTCTAGCGGCGGCTGCTAGCCCTCCCCCCCCCGTCGGGAAAAAAATAGCATTCTGTCGGGGAAGAGACTATGTCTCTATTGGAAACAGTGTGTTTTGTAGTGGTTTTAAACCGACACTTGGATAAGAAGGTGAAAAACTAAAATAGATGAGTGGCAATGATTACATAGCAAGAATAAAAGGTAAAAATGGGAGAAATTTTGCGAAAACATGAAGGAAAAATTTAACGAATGTAATGTCCGTAAATCCCCCCCCCCAACAATTTTGGGAAAAGAAATATTAATTAGTGGTTGATGAGTCGGCAAAGTCTTTTGTAGGAACTTAGCCCCTCTGTTGGGGACCAGCCCCTCCGTCGGAGAATTCCTGGCGCCACCACTGTAAAGGGACAATTTTTAGCGACAATTCGCATAAATTATGCGACAATTGGCTCGCATAAATTAGTTTCCGCGTTTGACTTCATTATAAGAAAGGCCTATTCTGCGACTCTAGCTATGACAGAAATTGCGTTGCAAAGTGAAGCTGGGGGTTGTACCGTGCGATATGGCCTTAAAATTGGTCAAGTCTCAGGCTACACCGCTGACCATTCTTATACACTATATATATAATCAACAAAAAACATGCAACGAAACCTCCCTCGTAATCGAGAACCTTTAAAAAGAAAAATTCAATACGATATTTTCAAAAATTGGAATATATTAAAGTTTGATATTGTCTCGGTAGATAATGACGGGAAATGTACACATCTGCAGATGTATAGCCAGTCGACACTTTATTAAATTGAGACTTATTAAATTAGAATGAAAATGACACCCGCAACTAAATGACTATATGCAAAAACTATTATTATAAACTTCAGGAAAATATCATTTGTAATAACGAGACATGATGTCTGAAATACTGAAGTTAACGAATTTTGAATACGGGAGGCAAAACAGTTCTTAAATAAGTTCTTAAATTTAAAACTATGTAAAGATATCACTTGCACGAAATTGCAAATGAAAACGCACAGATCTCACACGTTTTGTTAAAACGCTGAACTAACACAAATATAAACATTTTCCAAGCAAAAATACAAGTATAATATTTTCTGTAATCTGTATACAATTAAATTATAATAATAAATGTTTAATTACAATGCGAAACAGAAAAAGGAAACGCTGGCCATGTTAATAAAAATCTCATTAGGCAGAAACAAAAGTGTCGTGACATGAATTCAATATTACGATGCTGGAAGAGATAGTGAGTTAACGGGGTTTATTGTATCTCAAAATGATCATCGTCACAAAGATTTATAACTTATACTCTAGGCCTGATGGAAAAAAAATTAAGTTCATGGAAAAAGTTGATTGTTGAATGCTGTCAGCTTTTTACAAAATAAGTGTAATTTATCCCCTGCATATTCAGTGCCAGTATTCTATAATGTATGAAGATTATAGATCATGCATCATGACTCATGAATATCTTAAATTATATTAGTGCTCGCAATTCTAAAATAAACAAAAATTTTGCCATGCATAATAAATACAAAACAGTGAGATACATTTTAATCTTCATGCATGTTTTGTCGGAATATCCTTTGAACTGCGGCCATGCATGGTAGCCGGGATCACATCTCGGCACTGCCGGGCTCATATGAACCCATCAAGCCCGGTCTGACATTTGGGTTATCAATTTTGATCCACAAAATTAAGTCCCAATAAGGAAATCCTAAAACTGTCGAGATCCTCGGAAATTTTCATTTTCCGCCAATTTGTACGGAATTTATTACGTTTGCCAAAGACCAGACTATTTGCCGGGAAAGTCCATCTCACGGAGCGCGTGAAGAGAGCTTGATCGCAGGTTAGCGTGAAGCATGCAAGTTGCATGAAAAAACTGAAAAAACTAGCGTGATGATCTGGTTTACCGGCAGGGTCGTATAGCTAGACCGATAATTG